AAAAAAAAGGTCAGGCACAAAAATACCTGTACAGGCTTTTTCAGCGCTAATTCTTCACTGCTTTAGCAAATCCTAACAGTACTATTTTAATGCCAAAAGTAAACTTAATACTGACACCTATTGAAAAAAATGGCTGCCCACTGCTCCGGGTGTGTGTTCACGATGTGTGCGTGTGTTCACAGCTGTGTGTGGGCACTTTGGATGGGTTAAATGCAGAGCACTAATTACAAGTATGGGTCACCATAAATAACTGCATCTGTGTCCTAAGAGATTAAAAGCTGTGTCTTGTCTGCATTATTGTATCAAAAGAGGCATACAAATCCCATTAAATAAACACAAAACTGACTTTTAAAAACATTTCTTCAGATATATTTGAAATTCAAAAAGGTGACAACGTCAGACATTTATGCACACATTCATATCAATGCAATGCAGAAAACCTTAAGTAAAAGGCCAAATATCTGACACGGTAAAGCTCAGATTCTTAGATGACACCTATGTCTGAATTTCTGAATCCCATCTACGTATTGTGTGTGTTTTATTGGGTCTTTCCACTTGCTTCCAAACTCAGATTTGAGAGCGTGTCCTCCACCTTTGGGTCGTCTTCCTCCTCCTCATCCTCGTCGTCATCATCTTCCTCCTCTTCATAATCATCATCATCAAAGTCATCGTCCTCCTCGATATCCTCCTCATCTTTGTATCCCCCACCAGATTCCAGATTTTTCCAGTAGGAGCTGTATCCAGATGCACCATATCCGTCCTCGTCGCCGCCACTCTGCCGGCCAAATTTGTGTGTTCGGGCTGCAAGAACATCAAACAAAACCATCCGGTTAGTACCAGACATCTAACTGCTACTCAAAACCGGTGTTATTTATACTATACTTTACTATAGTGTATATTGTTGTACTATTATCGTTTTCATGATTTTTAATATTTTAAATGAGATTTTTTAAAATAAATATTTTTATATTTTTATAAATATTTTTATATTTAGATTTTTTTAAATGTTTTTATATACTGAATAAAACATTTTGTTTTCACTTTAATTTTAGTAAGTTTTTGTGACTGTGTTGTGTTGTCATTTTTATTAGTTTGCCCGTTCTCTATACATTTTTTTTATATATATATTATTTTAAGTTTATTTAGTTTGTTATTTTAGTACTTTAAATTAGACTAAATGAAAATGAGAAATGTTGCCTTGGCAACTAGCTGAAATAAAATAAGTTGTATTTATATTTTATTTCAATTAATGTTTATTTCATGTAACAAAAATGTTTTTATGGTTTTAGTTAAAAAAACAGTTATTATTTGTATTGTATATTTAAAAAAATATTTTTAAATGATCATATTGAGAATTATATTATCATGTTTAGCATTTTATTTTGATTAATTGACTATATATTATTTTGATGAATTAACTATATGGAATAAAATGTCTCAATTTAGATATCACAAAATTAAGATTAGACAAAATAGTAGTAGATAGCAGACGGCACTCACTGGACATGCTGAGATCTTTGGTCTCCTGAGTTTCATGTCCACACTTTGGGCACGGAGGAGCCTTGCCTTTCTCCTGCTTGAACACTTTGCTTCGAGCGTGATCGTCACAGAAACAAGCCTACAAAAACAGCATTTCAATCATAGGTTGTCCAAACAATGTATGTATACAAACAAATCAGACTGATGAAAATCCTAACCTTGCATCGGAGACAAGAATGCTGGCCGAGACGATTACAAGATAAACCTGCAATTGGGGCAAAAGTCAATAAAGTTGAATGTCGTAATGAAAAGAAGATTATTCAGAAAAACCATAGACAGACAAGACGTACATTTATAAGTCTCTGCTTCCAGGACCTGACAGCTCGCCTGGTGTTCAAACTGATCATCCTCACACAGGAAGTTGTGGCAAAAAGAGCAGTGGAAAATGCGACCACCTGTAAATTAAACAACAAACAGGATTTGACTGATTTCTCCAACCATATTAAAGCAGAGAACAGCTGATTTAGAGTATGGTAACCAGTGTTGGGGAAAGTTACTTTTAAAAGTGATGCCTTACAATATTGCGTTACTTCATAAAAAAGTAACTAATTGCATTGCTTAGTTACTTTTTATGGAAAGTAATGCATTACATTACTTTTGTGTTACTTTTTGTCGCCTGGGCTGGGCTTGCTTATTTGGTTTTTTAATAACCCCAAAAGTATATTTTGGCAACTGTAAAGGCCCTTTCACACCAAAAGTGAAATTAAAAGGCTGGCTGAAGAAAGTGCCTCTGCACCTCACTTCCGAGTTCTCTCAACACAGGGACAGGAGACGTGTCAGTGAATAAATGGGAAAACAAAGTAACTCAGATATTTTGCATTACTAGTTACTGGAAAAAAAAAAAAAGTAATATGATTACAAAACTCATGTTACTGGTAACTGATGGTGACTGTTTGTGCCATAGTAGACATGAATGCTTGCTCTTTACCATGTTCCCAAACGCTGCGGTCACACTCAATGCAATCTGCGTCAGAAAGAGGGCAGGAGCAGGCATGGGTACTCAAGCACTTCTTCCCATGGCAAACCCAGGCCTCACAGAAGTCACATATGGCCCCCTATAGGATACAAACACTACTGCATTAACAACAGAGCCACGCGTTCACAATCAAAGACTCTTCTGTGTTCAGTCGGAAATTCTTCTGGAAACGGCTGGACTGATCAGACACGCAATTATTTGTTATATTTAACAAATAATCCTTAAAACCCACTCTGTGAGTTCCATGAACCATCCTGAAAGGGCTCAGTTACCCGGGCTACTGTCTGACTGTTTTATTGCTCAAAAGTACGTGGAAAGATGCTATGTGCAATGGAACAGACCCTGTGAAAGACAGACACAGGCCTATAGAATGGACCTTTCCAGACAAACATGCATATTCCAGAACATTGTGTCTACTATTCACCTGAGGAATGTACAACCATGTATCCTAAATAATCATATGCTCTTTTATAGTGTTTTGCCTATATATTAAACCTTGAATGAACGTTTTAGTATTACTTAATTAAAGGGGTCATATGATGTTGCTAAAAAGAACATTCTTTTGTGTATTTGGTGTAATGAAATGTGTTTATGCGGTTTAAGGTTAAAAAAACACATTCTTTTCCATATACTGTACATTATTGTTTCTCCTCTATGCCCCGCCTTTCTGAAACGCTTAGATTTTTACAAAGCTCATTGCTCTGAAAAGCGAGGTGTGCTCTGATTGGCCAGCTATACAGTGTGTTGTTATTGGCCGAATACCTCAAGTGTGTGACGGAAATGTTACGCCCTTACCATATTGTGATTATAATATAAACGAGGCATTTGTTGCATCCAGTGGGGACATAATTACGGATTATAACAAGATCACACATATGCCTTACTTGGTATCTGTGAACTCCAAATTACGTTTCCTATTTGTTCATTTACATGACATTTCGCTAACTCTGTGGCACATTAGTATTATAAGGATCTTGAAGATCCTTCTCTTGAACAGCCAATCCAGTTTCATATGCAAAACACCATGCTAGAAGACAAAGGATCGTAAAATTTCCCTCCAAAGCTACCATTCCTCATTGGCTCTCTCAAATCCTGAGGGTGTGACGTCCTCACACTTTAAAGATCACTGATCAGGCCTTGTTTTTAAGATTCTGAGAAGATGACGATGCTGAGCTAGAAGTCTTCTAAGGATCCCTAAGTTTGTGCCAGGCTAAGTTTGTTTCCATTCACCAAAGATCCTCAGACTTCAGCTGGTTCTCTCTCATCAAGACAGCTCATAACTGAAGTCCCTGATCATGCAGATTTTGGCTTCATGCTCCGAGTAGTATTGCACATTAAGAACGTTATTTCCCATACCCTGGAAATAAACATTTCTTAGAATTAATGAACAGTTAACAGGCTTGTTGATTTTAATTCCATTAGCTGATCCAAGTATTTATAATTAATTATAATAAGTTGATTAATTATTAATATTTGCCTTTTGAGCTAATTTCCTACACTTTCATGTTCTGGCAATTACCGGTAGTTGCAAGAGCTCAAATCACACGCCAGTGTTTTCCGATTCTTCCGAAGCTAATTTAAAGCTCATTTAATTGTGATGCCAAGAGACTTTCTTCCACAATAACAGGAAACAAAAAGCTGGCAGAGAGCTCATATGCCCAAAAAGTTTTATTTTTACTGCATTAGAAACAAAAAGTGAACAAAATATTCTCAGAACTAACTTCACTTTTCTGTGCTACTTCTGCAATGACTCATAATAACGGTAAAAACTTGGATTGTAAACTGTATAATTTGACAACTATCCAACTTTTTCCAAATGAGTCCAAATGAGGCTTAGGGAACTTCCACTCAAACTGACTGAAACAAATCATTTCATGCTACAAATAATCCCTAATCAGTATATTATCTGTCATGCTCTATTTTTATCTGTCAGGAAAATAACATCATGTTTGGAATTGTATTGGTATCACAAAAATATCTGTGACAAAATCTCTGTCCCGTTTCCTGTTTCCTTGTATGTTGCTCTATTAATATGAAAATACTATGATTTTTTTCTGCAAATCCTCAGTTAAATCTCTATCAGATGGCACTTTAAAATAGGGATGCTCCGATCCGCCTTTTTCGCTTCCGATACCGATTCCCGCATCCCTACTTTAAAATGTAGTTTTCTTCCCTTTTTCACTTCCAATCCATGTTAGCTGTTTACTGGAATATTTATAATATTCAATATCAATATTATACATTATAATATTAGAATATAATAATATAAAGCCAGGAAAAAAAACGCATTAATCTGTCAAAATGAGGGAAAGCACTCTGAAATATCAATAAATATTACAGTTAATGGAAGATTTTTGATTAACACAACATACACGTATTTTACATATAATTTTACGTATACAGTGATATTTAACACGACCATAATATTGTTGCCGAAAGACTTTTAGGGTTACTCATGGTCTGTTGATAGTGATTTGTTATTTTTACACTTAAGTTTGGTTTTGTTCGATGGGTGAGGAGTATAATGTCACCTCACCGTACCTAGTTTTTGCAATTGATTATTATTGCATTCTTAGTGCGAACCTTTAAACAGGTTTATTGGCAGTCTCTGACCGTTTACAGTTTATCCCATAATTTCCGCAAAACATCATGGGATGTAGGAAAAAGGTGGATAACTTCAAACTCTCAGCAACTACAGTCAGTACATAACATGTGATGAGAAACACAAATCATGTCCTTCATTATACAGAAGATTTATTTGACTGAATAAACACAGCCTAAAAAAATGTAATATAATTCAAATACGAAAGTCACTTGGACTGGAATTGAATTCTTCTAATTTTGTGCATAAGCCTAGCTTCTCAAAGACAGTTGCTTGGATTTCTGTCCAAAAAAACAACTATTTCTAGTGTAATGGGTATAAAATGTAAGATATTTGAGGACATGTCCTGGCACCATTTATGGAGATGTTTGTACTTACCACCATGCCCATTCCAGTGCTGTGAACACCAGGATGTTTTATGACACAGTCTGAAGCCTTCATACATTTCGTTTTGCCTTTAAATAAAGAAAAATAACAGAATAAATATAACAAACAGAAGACTAAAACGGCTTAATATCCTAAAAATGTACTACTTCTCTTTGTGAAACGTGATTTATCTCTGTCCAGCGTCTCACCGATTATCAGAGTGCTCAAATGTTTTTGTAGGCTATCCTCCTGCCTCTTTGGGAATTTATTTTATGACACACTGGGCACATTCCACAGACAAGCTCACCTCCCTTTGAGTACTTATTATTACTTTCTTATCAGATCATACTTTTTTCCCCTCTAAGGTCCACTTACAATGTCAGTAAGATACGGCCCTCCATGTGTGAAAGCGCTCTGTTCCTGAGCTGCAGATTTGATTGCATTCTTATCATTAGTTATTTGTGCATTTAAGACCGATATGTCATCTTTATCTGCTTTATTGGACAGGCCAAGTTTCAGAACACTGGACCGAGATCTAATGTCAAACTGAGCAATGTGCAAGATATTTTCCAGACTCTAACTGGGGGAAAAAAACGATGAGGGTCAGTTATAATGAGTGTAGAGGGCGTGCTGGGGTTCAGTAGGAGGACGTTCATCTCACCACACTGTGCACACATGGGAAGTTTCTGCACTGAAGAGCAGAAATAGCAGAACGCCCTGTTTTTTTGTCGCCTGGCAACAGAAAAAAATTATATGCAATATTATGGAAAGGTACAAGGTAATGTAACAATTCTGCAAAAATCATAAGTAAAATTACCTTTGACACTTATCACATTCCTAAAAAAAAATAAAAAATATATATATATATATATATATGATATATTAATAGATATCATATATTATATGAGCGACTATGCAACTCCTGTGTGTTGCATAGCAACGTTTTGTTTAATGTAATCCGGGTTTTTTTTATCAATCAATTAATTAATTTAGTTTGTTAGTTATTTCTATATAACGCTCTTTAAAGCGTCACAAATCGTGACGTCAACACAATGTAGATTTTAAACCAGAAGATGAAAATAGCGCAAAAAAGCTTAAAATTAACCAGTTTTCTCCAAAAGTTAAAATGATCGGATGCTAACATTGTCTTCTATGATGTGCAACACAAACACCTCTGCTAAAATCTCAGAAAAAGTAGTCTGGGGTTTCATGACACTTTAAGTTCAATTGCCTAGCATTGTATACGGTGATATTCTTCTTCAACAACTGCATTTTCCCTCTACAGTCTATGTTTAGTAACAAAATATCTGGCAACCTTCTCATCCGACACCGTCACAACAAGCGCAAAAGCTGCTGGGTGACTCGACATGATGGTGGACTGCATTTATAAGCCACTTTTACAGGACGACGGCGATGGACAGGTAGATGTTTTGTCTGACTGCGCTCTATTTGTGTTGTGGGGTTGCCAAGTGATGCCGTATTCAAGGATCATAATCATATACTGAAAAAGAGGCAGGATAAAGACGTTCCCCGGCGTGAAAACAGTTAGTTTGGGATCATTTCTGAAAACATGGCAATGTCCCTAACCCAAGCCTGCCGGAGTCTTGCCCTGTCTACATGGCTGCTGTCGTTTTGCTTTGTGCATTTGCTGTGTCTGGACTTCACAGTGGCAGAGAAGGAGGAATGGTACACTGCCTTTGTCAACATCACTTACCTGGATCCAGTGACATCTGAGATAAAGACAGACAAGAGTGAATGTGGCAGATATGGGGAGCACTCTCCTAAAAGAGATGCCAGGGGCTTTGTGTTTATGCCATCTCTTCTGCAGGACAGACAGGTGTGTGACAGTAACACTAAATTCCCTCTTCCTCATCCCAACATCCCATGGATAGCACTGATAGCCAGAGGAAACTGCACCTACAGGGAGAAGATCAGACATGCTGCTGCTCTCAATGCATCCGCTGTGGTCATTTTCAATGTGGGCTCCAGCAACTCCAATGAGACCATTACTATGCCACATCACGGTAAGATGAGATGCTTTTCTTGTGCATTTGCTCTCCAGACGTCATTGTAAAAGAAATATTGACCGTTAAAGTGCAAGTTGTGCACTGCATTCCAAGTTTATAAACCCACTTTAATTGTAGAATGTATGAAGAGCACTTAAAGGGACAGTTCACCTAAAAATGAAAATTCTGTCATCCTTTGCTCACCCTCAAGTTGTTCTAAACCTGTATGTATTTCTTTCTTCTGCTGAACACAAAAGCAGATATTTTGAAGAATGTGAGTAACCAAACGGTAGCCATTGACTTGAGTCTTATTTTTTTTTATACTATGAAAATCAATGGCTCATGTTTGGTCACCAGCATTCTTTAAAATATCGTCTTTTGTGTTCAACAGAAGAAAGAAATACATACAGGTTTGGAACAACTTTAGAGCAAGTAAATGATGACTGAATTATCATTTTTGGGTGATCTATGAAGAGACTTTTATTGAAGGCCATTTGGGTGAATAAATAATGACCAAATTGCTTTTCGGATGAACTATTCCTTTAATGTATAACAAGGATATCACATCAATGCACCAACATGTGATTATGACCAGTGATGCATATTGTGTGATCTAAGCTTGACCAGTTTGTTTCCACTGAATAGTTAACATCTATCATGCACTGTATCCTGATGTGGAAAAACCTGTTAAACCCTTGAGATTTGCATGGTCTGTTTACATACTTTGCAGAGTATTAAGCCTCTTTTGCATCAATATTTTCATATTGCATCATATTTCACACCAAAATCAAAAAAAAGAATATGTGCTACACTTTACAATAAGGTTCCATTAGGTACTTTATTTATTTATTTGTTTTCATGATTATTATTAATAAAATAATATTGTTGTAATGCAAAAAAATATATATAAAAAAAGTTAACTGTTATGCTAAAAAACAAGGCATATTATTGCACATTAATGACATTCCCAACATCCCACTTTCCTGCACAGACTTTACAAACTTTGACCAGCTCTCCACACTTCTCTCGACTCCACTATATCATACTTATATGATTCATTTATTACAATAAAAGGAATCTTTTGGTCTACACACACATTTTCGGTGATTGTTGTCTTGACTCACTCTGAAGCAGCTAAGAATGATTTTTATTACTTGAGTTGTGACATGATTACTCAGTGTGTTTGCAGTCGCTGCAGGTTTCTTCTTGTTGTGTTTCCTTAGCAATGGATGATTTTCACAAAAACATGCCCAGGTCACACTGCAACCCAAGATCATAAGGAAAGATATTAGGAAACTATACTTTGCATAAAGTTCAAATTTTGGAACTTTTGTCTATTATTATTATTATTATTATTATTATTATTATTATTATTATTATTATTATTATTATTATTATTATTATTATTATTATTATTATTATTATTATTATTATTATTATTATTATTATTATTATTATCATGACAGTTATCAATGCATCAAAGATGTAGATGAGTTTGTTACTTCATCAAACAGATTTGGAGAAATGTAGCATTACATCACTTGCTCACCAATGGTTCCTCTGTAGTGAATGGGTGCCATCAGAATGAGAGTCCAAACATCACAATAATCCACAAGTAGCTGAGACAACTCCAGTCCATCATTGCTTCTGGCTCAAATATGTGATGTTTTTATCAGCTGTTTGGACTCCCATTCTGACGGCACCCATTCACTGCAGAGCATCCATTGGTGAGCAGGTGATGTAATGCTACATTTCTCAAGATCTATTCCCATGAATAAACTCATCTACGTCTTGGACGGCCTGAGGGCGAGTACATTGTCAGTGATTTTGTGGGTGAATTATTCCTTTAAAACATGTTCTCAAAGATCTTGTCTGTGCGTGTTTCAGTTTGGTAACATTAGCAGGTCAGTGGGAGTTGTAAGATTGCTCAAACCAAGTCAACCACAAGAATCTCTCTTGCATTTTGCAGAACTCATGGTCACGACATGCTGTTGTGTCTGATCAAGAGTGTCTGTCTCTTTCACTTCCCCACCATTTTCTGGTCTCTTGACCCTTTGCTTCATGAATTCTTTGTCATTTTTGAGCGTTAGAGACCATTGACTTTATCTGTTCGGCACTGAAAGTGCTGTCAGTGTCATGAGCAACAGTGTCCAGACAGAATATTCTGCATGTAGTTAAACCTGCTGTGTCTTTTTTCCCCCCCAATGTTATTGGGACAGTTCACCCATCAATTTTTTTCTCCTTGTCATGTATCTTAGTCTTATAATCTGTAAGGCACAGTGGTTAAATCCTGTTGTGTTTACTTGTGCTATATAAATAAATGAAATGAAAATGAATGAAATGAAACTGACTACATTCATGCACAGCTTTCACCTCTGACCTGATGCTGTCATGTTGTTATTGATGAAGCTCCATAAAGGTGTTGTGTTTAGCATTAATCACAGGCTCCTGTATCCTGAACTCTGCAGTGCAGTAATTCATCTCTCAAATCCAGTGTTCAGCCAGCTCCTTGTTTGTAAATGGAGAGGGCTGGTACTCGGCACTGGTTAAGTGCATTCTTCATAGTTTTATTATTGCTTTCTTTGCTGACATGTTGGCTGCTTTACAGCTCAGTCCAGCAAGTGCTAATTTTGAGGATCAAATGACTGGCTTTCACAGATGCATGTTTAGAGTCCAGAATGAGTGAAGCCCTGAGCTTAGCTGAGATGTGTGAAGTCTTCCGTTTCAAATGATGCCTCTCTTGAAATGAGCAAAAACACACAAAATAATTTAAATGCAAACTCAATTAAATATCTAACAACAAACAAATTATGTTTCTTAAAACATACAATAATGCTTAAAATTAGGTTTAACTTAAACATTAAATATTATGAAATTTTAGTGCACTTTTACAAATTATTATAAAAAAAAAACTGGCTTGATATGTGTTATAAAATTTATCTAATCTATCTATTTTTTTATTTGTTTGTTCATTTATTCTTAATGTAGGATTTATTAATTAATTTATTGCCTTGTTTTGCTTTGCTTTTTTTGGGGGGGGCTTTTTTCAAGATACATTTTTGTAATATATAAAAAGTCACCTATTTGTACCTGTTTTTGTTAGTTTGTTTCTGTGTCTGTTTTTGAATAAAACCTGCTTAAATCAGTGTTGTTATTGTTAAAACTAAAACTAATTTAAAATAATTTTTGTTAACTGAAATAAAGCTGAAATAAAATATAAATAGTAGACTTAAACTTAAAAAAAAACTGAAATAAAAGAAGTTGAAGTACTAAAATGACAAAAACTAAAACGGAAATAAAAATAATAAGGCTTATTGGAAATATAAAAAAAAGAAGATATACATCAAAGCCTAAAATGAAAATGGAAAATATTAAAATAAATGCTAACTCAAAATATGAATAAATACTACAAAACAAAACAACTAAAACAACACTTGTTTTCATTTTGAAATAATATCACTTGAAAATATCAGATTTTATTCAATATTAAGTATTAGGTAACAAGTAAGATAAAGAAATAGCCTACTCTTAATAACACACAAAAAAGAAAAATTTTCTTTAAGTTTTCCAGTTTCTTCCTTTTCTGTGAAGCAGAATCCACCCAAATGAATTATGTCTTGTTAATGGCATCAGTTTAAAGGAAGGTGTGACCGATCCGTGTGTTTGTTCTCTGTATTTAATTACATCAGGTTTGCAGATCTGTTCGAAGGCTTTTCCAGAGTCTAGAGAAGAGCCTAACTTGTTTTTAACATTGAATGACAGTGCAAAACGCTATGACTCGCTGACTATCGGTGTGTTTTTATGTTGATCAATTAAAAGTGTGAAG